AAGAAGAGGATGAGGATGATGAAGAAGAAGAGGAATGAGGATGATGAAGAAGAAGAGGATGAGGATGATGAAGAAGAAGAAGATGAGGATGAAGTGGAAGAAGAGGATGAGGGATGAAGAAGAAGAAGAGGATGAGGAAGAAGAAGAAGAAGAAGAGGATGAGGATGAGGAAGAAGAGGAAGAAGAAGAAGAAGAAAGAAGAGGTTGGATGAAGAAGAAGAAGAAGTGAGATGAGGATGAAGAAGAAGAAGAAAGAGAAGAGGTAGAAGAAGAAGAAGAGAAGAGGAGGATGAGGATGAAGAAGAAGAAGAAGAAGAGGATGAGGAGAAGAAGATTAAGAAGAAGAAGAAGAGAATGATGAAGAAGAAGAGGATGAGGATGATGAAGAAGAAGAGGATGATGGTGAGGAAGAAGAAGAAGAGGGTGAGGATGATGAAGAAGAAGAAGAAGAAGAAGAAGAGGATGAGGATGAAGAAGAAGAAGAGGATGAGGATGAAGAAGAAGATGAGGATGAAGAAGATGAAAGAAGAAGAGGATGAGGATGAGGAAGAAGAAGAAGAAGAAGAAGAGGATGAGGATGAGGAAGAAGAAGAAGAAGAGGATGAGGAAGAAGAAGAAGAAGAAGAAGAAGAAGAAGAAGAGGATGAGGATGAAGAAGAAGAAGAAGAAGAAGAAGAAGAGGATGATTGAAGAGAAGAAGAGGATGAGGATGAAGAAGAAGAAGAAGAGGAAGAGGATGAGAATGAAGAAAGAAGAAGATGAGGATGATGAGATTTGAAGAAGAAGAAGAAAGAAGAAGAAGAAGGATGAGGATGAGGAAGAAGAAGAGGATGAGGATGAGGAAGAAGAAGAGGATGAGGGAGAAGAAGAAGAAGAAGAGGATGAGGAATGGAAGAAGAAGAAGAAGAGAGGATGATGAAGAAGAAGAAGAAGAGGATGAAGAAGAAGAAGATGAGGATGAAGAAGAAGAAGACGATGATGAGGATGAGGGAGAAGAAGAAGAAGAGAAGAAGAAGAAGAAGAAGAAGAGGATGAGGATGAAAAAGAAGAAGAGGATGAGGATGAGGAGGAGAAGAATGAAGAAGAAGAAGAAGAAGAGGATGAGGATGAAGAAGAAGAAGAAGAAGAGGATGAGGAAGAAGAAGAAAAGAAGAAGAAGAAGAAGGATGATGAAGAAGAAGAAGAAGGATGAGAGGAAGAAGAAGAAGATGAGGGATGATGAAGAAGAAAAGAAGAAGAAGGAGATGAGGATGAATGAAGAAGAAGAAGAAAGAAGAAGTAGATGAGGATGAAGAAAAGAAGAAGAAGAAGAAGAGGTAGAAGAAGAAGAAGAAGAAGAGGAGGTGAGGATGAGGATGAAGAGAAGAAGAAGAAGAAGAAGAAGAAGAGGATGAGGAAGAAGATTAAGAAGAAGAAGGAAAAGAAGAAGAAGAGGATGAGGATGAAGAAGAGGATGAGGATTTTGAAGAAGAAGAGGATGATGGTGAGGAAGAAGAAGAAGAGGGTGAGGATGACCTGATGATGAAGAAGAAGAAGAAGAAGAAGGAAGAGGATGAGGATGAGAGGAAGAAGAAAGAAGAAGAAGAAGAAGAAGAAGAAGAAGAAGAAAGAAGAAGAAGAAGAGGACGAGGAAAAGAAGAAGAAGAAGAAGAGGATGAGGAAGAAGCCTCCGAAGAAGAAGAGGCGAGGAAGAAGAAGAAGAAGAAGAGGATGAGGAGAAGAAGAAGAAGAAGAAGAGGATGAAGAAGAAAAAGAAGATTCCCAAGAGAAGAAGAAGAAAAAGAGCTTCCTTCCCCTCCTCCTCCTCTGCGAAGAAGAAGAAGATCTCCAGATCCTCTGAGATCCTCCGCCTGAAGAAGATTAAAGGTCTGAAGAAGAAGAAGCCTCCTCCTGAGGATGAATCCTCCTCCTCCTCCCCTACCTTCCTTGAAGTCCTGAGGATCTTGAAGAAGCCTCCTCCTTCCTCTTCGGGAAGAAGATGAGGAGAATCCTCCTCCTTCTCCTTCCTCCTCCTCCTCCTGAGGCATCCTGATGATCATTCCTTTCCTCTTCCCCCTGATGCCTCCTCCTTCTTCCTTCCAGATCCTCCCTTCCAGATTCTGCATCATCCTCCTCCTCTTCATCATGAGGATGATGAAGCCTCCTCCTCCTCTTTGCTTTCTTCAGCATCCCGTTCCTCCTCCTTCCTCCTCCTCTGAAGAATCTCCTTCCTGAGGAAGAAGAAGAGAAGATCTTCCTCCTCCCTCCTCCTCCTCGCCTCTCCGCATCCTTCCGTGCCTCCTCTCGAGAATCATCTTCCTCCTCCTCCGCATCCACCCTTTCTTCATCGCCATCCTCCTCCTTCCCTTCATCTATCCTCCGCTTCCTCTCCTCCTCCCCTCCTCTGTTCTTCCTCCTCCTTCCTCCTCCTCTTCATCTTCATCATCCTCTCCCTCCTCCTCAGCTGTCAGCTTCTCATCCTTCCTCCCGCCTCTTCATCTTCTCCTCCTCCTCCTCCTTCCTGACTTCATCCTTCATCCTCCTCCGCCTCCTCCTCTCATTCATCTTCCTCCGCTTCTCGCCACCTCCTCCTCCTCCTCCTTCCTCTTCTCTTCATCTCCTCTTGAGGAATCTTCATCATCCTCCTCCTCTCCTCATCATTATCTTCCTCCTCCTCCTCCTCCTCCTCCTCTCATCTCAGCCTTCCTCCTCCTTCCTCCGCCTCCTCCTCCGTTGGTCCTCTTCATCCCTCCTCCTTCTTTCCATCTTCATCCCCCAATGTAGGCATCCACCCATAAAAAATCCCCCCCATACCCATACACCCTGTCCCAGCTGTCTTGGTCCATGTATGGAACCCAATGGCAGAGTACATGGAAGGTGGAGGCTCCTTAAGAATCAATTTAAAGAACTAGGCTGCAAGTTGAAGGGTAGGACCTCCAAGGTGACAATTACCTGTGCCATGCGCAAACTCAGGAAAGACGAGGGGGGGGGTTTAGAGAACTCAATGCATGGCTGATGACCTGGTATAAGAGGGAAGGATTTGGGTTTCTAGAGCACTGGGGCTGACTTTTCATTGGGGTGCAACCTATATGCTATAGATGGTTTGCACCTAAATAGAAGGGGGGTCTGCTGTTCTGAAGGGGGAGGTTTATGGGAAGGCTGGAGGAGTATTTAAACTAGGATCAAAGGGGGGAGGGAGAATTAGAGTATAATGGGTAGACAGATCAGACAGGGGTCAGTACTTATTGGTGGGTGGAATGGGGAAAGATGGGGGGAGGGCTATGGCAGATGATAAGAAGGTTCCCATGTTACAAACAATCAGTGGAATTGGTACCATTTGTATGAAATTAAAGAGATTATTCACCAATGCCAGAAGTCTGCCAAGCAAAATAAGTAAGTTGGAAGCTTTGGTGTATAAAGACAATAATGATTTAATTGGTATTGCTGAATCTTGGCATCACTCTTCGCATGACTGGGCCATTAATATTCCTGGCTATGTTCTCTTTTGGACAGACAGGGTAAGTAGGAAAGGTGGTGGTTTCCGTTGTTTCTATGTGAGAAGTGATCTCAGAGTGAGTGTGAAAGAGGACCTAGTTAATGGAGAGTGTGATGAGGCTGAAGCATTATGGGTGGAACTGCACATGGGGGGCGTACTACAAAAATAATCATTAGAGTTTGTTATAGACCTCCCAGTGTTAATGAGGAGGTGGAGACTCAGCTCCTTGCACAGATCGAAAGGGCTGTAGGGGCTGGGACAGTGATAATAATGGGGGATTTTAATCACTGGAGTAATGGCACTGCAGTCAAAGGTTAGATCAGTTAAAGGGAAAAAAACGTATAAACCCATTACAGGATAATTTTATGGTACAGTTCATAAAGGCCCCAACTAGGAATGATGCTCTGCTGGACCTGGTAATCTCAAACCATGCAGAGTTTGTTACGAATGTCCATATAAAAGAACATCTGGGTAGCAGTGAGCATAACATGATTTCATTTATTGTTAGCTGTAAACATCAAGTGCATACGGGAAAATAAAAATGCTCAACTTTAAGAAAGTAATTTTCCAAAGCTGAGAGCTGTTCTCCAAGACTTAGACTGGGAGGGAATATTGGCATTGATGAACACAACACAGAAATGGGAGTTCTTCAAAAGACTGCATGTGACCACACTGCAAAATATATTCCCATGGGCAACACGTTTAAAAGGCTAAAAATCAAACCTATGTGGCTTATGGCCAAAGTTAAAAAAGCTATAAATAATAAGAAAAGAGATTAATATAAAAATGATGGAACACTATCATCGTTTAAACATTAAAAAGAATATAACAGAATGTGTAAAAAGGAAATAAAAAAATTGAAAATGAACAACAGATTTCAAAAGATTGCAGGACAAACACCCAAAAATTCTACAAATATATTAATAGTAACAAGGTCCGGTCCGAGCATGTAGGCCCTTTACAAAATAATCTAGAGTGGGTGACTGGGGACAAAGAGAAGGCAAATGTATTAAATCCCTTCTTCAGCTCTGTGTATACAAAGGAGCATGGGGGATCTCTTGTCCATAATGGGGGGTGGTACTGACACAGCTCCAGATGATCCACATTGGCTCACAATTGATATGATCCAAAAATATTTAGACAGAATAAAGGTGAATAAAGCCCCTGGACCGGATGGCATACACCCACGGGTCCTTAAAGAACGGAGCTCTGTCATTTCAAAGCCATTATTTCTCATTTTTAGAAACTCTTCAATGACTGTCATAGTACCACCAATGTGGTGTCTATATTTAAAAAGGGGTCAAAATCTTCACTAATTTTAATCATGTAATTACAGACCTGTTATTTTAACTTCCATAATTGGGAAGATACTTGAGAGTTTAATAAAAAACCACATAGATGAGTTCTGGCTGAAAAAAAAAATATTTTAAGCAACAGACAGCATGGATTCATAAAAGACAAAAGTTGTCAAACAAATCTGATTTCTTTTTATGAGGGGGTGACCAAAACCTTAGACAGAGGGGTGGCGGTGGATGTGGTATACTTGGACAGAGGGGTGGAGGTGGACGTGGTATACTTGGACAGAAGGGTGGTGGTGGATGTGGTATACTTGGACAGAGCGGTGGGGGTGGACGCGGTATACTTGGACAGAGGGGTGGCGGTGGATGTGGTATACTTGGACAGAGGGGTGGAGGTGGACATGGTATACTTGGACAGAGAGGTAGCGGTAGACATGGTATACATGGACAGAGGGGTGGTGGTGGACGTGGTATACTTGGACAGAGGGGTGGCGGTGGACATGGTATACTTGGACAGAGGGTGTGGCGGTGGACATGGTATACTTGGCAGAGGGGTGGCGGTGGACATGGTATACTTGGACAGAGGTGTGGCGTGGTTGGGCGGTGGACGTGGTATACTTGGACAGAGGTGTGGTGGTGGACGTGGTATACTTGGACAGGGTGGCAGTGGACGTGCGACTTGGACAGAGGTGTGGCAGTGGACGTGGTATACTTGGCAGTGGACGTGGTATACTTGGACAGAGTGGTGGGTGGACGTGGTATACTTGGACAGAGGGGTGGGTGGCATGGTATACTTGGACAGAGTGGGTATACTACTTGGACAGAGAGTGGGTGGCAGTGGACAGAGGGGTGGCAGTGGACGTGGTATACTTGGATTTTGAAAAGCGTTTGACACAGTTCCCCACACACGGCTAATGTGTAAGGTAAAGTCTACAGGTTTGGAAAAATCTGTATGTAAATGGATATAAAATCTGGCTAAAAGATCGTATTCAGAGAGTAGTGGTTAATGAGTCATACTCTGCATGGTCTAGGGCTGTCAGTGGTGTACAGGAGCAAATTGGATCATGCTTTGCTGGGGGTTTTTTTGGCTTCCTCTAGATCAACTGGGGGTGTAGGATTATAACTTTTTTTTTGTGGAACTGGATGGACTTTTGTCTTTTTTTCAGCCAGACTAACTATGTAACTATTTTGAACATGTGTAACAAAATGCTTCCAATGGTATATTTATCAGATCAAACAGGAGGAAATAAGAGACGTTCACTCTTAGGGTTTACAGTACTTTAACCATTTGCCCTCCTGAGGATTTACCACCCCCCCCCCCCCCCCATCCTAACCAGGCCATTTTTTGCTATTCGGTGCTGCACTATTTCAAGCAGTAATTGCGTGGTCATACAATGTTGTACATAAATGAAATGAAAAAAATGAAAATAGAGCTTTCTTTTCTTGGTATTTTTTCACCAGTGCGCTTTTTATTTTTCGCAATATAAACAAAAAAAAACCACCAAACATTTAGTAAAAAAAAATGTTTTCTTATTTCTGTCCTGAAAAATATCCAAAAAACTCAAATTTCATCATAAATTTAAGCCAAAATGTATTCTGCTACACGTTTTTGGTAAAAAAAATATCCCAGTAAGTGTATATTGATTGCTTTGTGTGAAAGTTATAGTGTCTACAAACTATGGTATAGATAATGGAATGTACGCAGCTTTTACTTTCTGATTGCCCAACACATTTCTTGAGGTGCTAAAATACCAGGACAGTACAAACACCCCCAAATTACCCTTTTCGGAAAGTAGACACCCTAAGCTATCTGCTGAGAGGCATGTTGAGTCCATGGAAGATTTATTTTTTGACAATGACAAAAAAAATTTTTTTTTACACAATGTTGTCACTTAATTGATGTATTGCTCACATAAGCCATGGGTATATGTGGAATTACACCCCAAAATACATTCTGCTACTTCTACCGTTTATGGGGGTACCACATGTGTGAGACTTTTCAGGAGCCTAGCCACATGCAGGAGTCTGAAATCCAATGACTACTTTGAAAGGCTGAAGGTGCGTAATTTCCTCATTTCACTTCCTGACTACCTATCACAGTTTCGGAGGCCCTGAAATGCCAAGTTTTCCAAAAACTTGTGGCAACAAAGGAGATCTGCAAAATACTCACCATGCTTTTTATTAAATTCCTTGTGGTGTCTACTTTCCAAAAAGGGGTCATTTGGAGGGGTTTGGTGCTATCCTTGCATTTCTGGGCCCCTGAAACTCTGATAGGTAGTCAGGAATTGGAGTGAGGAAATAAAGCCCTTTAAAAGCCTGAAGGTGCTTATTGGATTTTGGGGTCACCGGCTGAATATAACAATACCAGGATGATGCCTGTAGCTACAGGTATCATCCTGGTATAACCACTCAAATTCCAGTGATGTACCAGTATGTCGCTGGTCCTTGTTGGGTATATATGCATGTTCTTTTTTTTTAATGCAGCCTGTGGGCTGAATGAAAAAAAAGAGAAGAAAATATCTGCCAGAAAAAGTGTGTGGTATGCCCACCATTAGAATATACTGCTCTCCATCCACCCACTTCCAATGGTGAAATGTTCTTTTTTTGTCGTTCAGCTTTTGGCATGAAGGGAAAAAAAAGATCCTAACAGATTTCTCTATTCACATCAGTCGATATGGATGAAGAAATCTCTTCCAAAATTATTTTTTTTTAAAAAATATACCGAAGCATAGGGGCCACCCACTGGTAACCCCAGGTCCCCATGCTTCGGTATATATGCTCTTTTTTTAAATGCGGATTAAAAATCTCATCCAAAAGCGCTGCACACACCTACTTATGTATATTCTGAGAGCAAGACCCTGTTGCTGTCAGAATAAACAAGTCGGTGCTGCAGCTGAATGGCATCCCTGCAAAGAAAACAGCAAAGGTTAGCAATAAATTAGTAACTCAATAAAACAACTTTTTTATTGAAATATGTTCCAAAAAATATTATAAAATATATACGCCGAAGCATAGGGGCCATCCACCCACTAGACACCTCAAGCCCCCATGCTTCAACATATATGCTCTTTTTTAAATTGCATATGAAATATCTCATCCAATAGCGCTGCCCACACTGACTTATGTATATTCTGAGGGCAAGTTCCTGTTGCTGTCAGAATAAACAGCAGCTGAATGGCATTCCTGCAAAGAAAACAGCAGCGGTTAAAAATAAAACAGCAAACAATAAAACAGTAAAAGTATCGTAACAGTAGAACAATAATGACAACAAAAAAAAAACTACAACTGTTTTTGGTTTTTAACATTTTTTTATTTTTTGTTTGGACTTGTACTTTTTATTATTTTTTTTTATTTTTTTTTTTTTTTTTTAACTTTAGGCAGGTGTCACGCCTAAATCCATGTCTGTTACAGACACAACTTCTTTTTTGGTGTATCCTTTGGGTTGGAGTACCAGGAATGGCATTGGGAAAATGCATCTCATGCAGCCGGCTAACTGCATTTGGTTTGATGGTTTAGGCCACAGCACCTTCTGGATACAAAAGGCCCATGATGATCTCTTCCTGGTATTTTAGGAAGGATCCACTATATCCAGATGCTTTGTAAAGCACAAAAGCATTATATAGAGCCAATTGAAATAAATAAACAGACACTTTTTTGTACCAGCATCTGGCGTTTTGGGAAACTAAGTATGGCTTCATCATTTGGTTGCTGAAGTCCACCCCTCCCATGTTAAGGTTATAGTCGTGGACACAGAGCGGCTTCTCAACAAAACCAGCTGCCATGGCAATTTGGATGGACGTGTCTGGGTGAATGGAAAACAAGACAAAAACATCCCATGTGTCCTTCCACTTCACTATGAGCAATTCCTAATTTCTCTAGCAGGCTTTTTTTTCCCCTTTCTAAGATGGGTATTTACAAGCTGTTGGTGGAAGAAGCCCAGCGATATGTCGCACGGTACCACATGCACCAATCCAAGATTGTACAAATGTCTAAATAGTGGCACTCTTGATTAAAAATTGTCCATATATAAGTGGTACCCCATATGGAAAAGGATGACACCAAGTCCCAAACTATCTTGCCACTACTCCCCATGTAGTCTGGGCATCCAGGAGGCTCCCCGTGACTATCGTAAATCCAAAACTTATATTTTAGCCTGTTGTCCTCTCACAGGTCTTATACACCTTGACCCAATATCTGGCACACTTGCTGGGGAAAAAAATTGTTTGAATGAAAGGCGGCCAGAAAAATTAATGAGGGACTCATCAATGCAGATGTTTTGCTGGGGAATATAGCCATCTGCAAATTTTTGGTTAAGGTGATTTATGAGGGCCCGAATTTTGTGTCAAATTCAGGCTCACCCTGAGAACGACAGTGTGCTGTCATTGAAATGCATAAAACACATTATATTCTCATATCTATGCCTGGCCATGGCAACAGAGAACATGGGCATATGATGAATTTAGTCTGTGGACCAATACAACTGCAATTCATTTTTTTAGTAATGCTCATGTTGAGGGTTAGGCCCCCCAAAGATATTTAAATTCAGAAACCGTAATGGGTTTCCATGTGAGTGGTCTGTCCAGGTTTGAATTTGGGTTGGCGGCGATAAATTATGTGCATATAAATTGCTGTAATCCACAAGCAATGCGTACAGATCTTCCGGAAAAACAGCTCCAAAAAAATCAAGGCCATTAGTTAAATTTGCTGTTTCCACCTCAATTCAGGGTTGGGCAGTGAATGGGAGAAGTGCGGGTGCTGCCCAATTTGTGTTTATCAGCAAATCGGGATTTTGCAAGCACATCTGGAAGGATACTACGGGCCTGTGTGCGAATTCTTGGTGGCTTTAAGACACTACTTGTGCTCACCACCGCACCAGCTTGTAGTTATGGGACTCACCACGTCAACCAAGTGATACTGCAGTGCTGGTATGTATAAGACCAGGATGTACTAGGCTACGGGTGTTCGCCATTTCACCAACAGGTAGAGTGGCACTAGTACTGGCACTCTGCTGCAAATGAGAGGCATCAGGCGATTGTAACATCTCAGCAACCTGGGAATGGGGTCGGGTACACCTGATCTTAGCAGATCCATAGTCTAAGGTATCTGTCAGGGTGCTGCTGTTGTCTACAGGTTCATATTCTGAGGCTGATTGTGTCAGTGAGTCTTCCCCTTCGCTCTCATCTGACATGCTCAGAATCCTGTAGGCCTCTTCACTAGAGTACCTTTCCATTAAAATTGTCCACTAAATTTATAGGTACCTTGTGCGACTCACGGGAAAAAGAGCACTTGGTTGTCAGGGACTGCTTGCTTGAACCGCTAAAAAAAAAATTTACCGGCAAGTGCTAACGGAGATCAGGCCTGATTCTGCCAACACTGCGGTTTTGTGTGCAATGTATCAAGTGACAGTGACCTACTGACACTGCACTTGCTGGGGGAGAAGAAGGGGGGTAAGTGTAGGGGCTAAATGCAAGTGTGGTGAAGGTGCCGGGGCTGATCCTGCTAACGCTGCGTTTTTGGGGACGCTATACTAATGTGAACGCTGGTATAGTGCTGATCTGATCAAAGATATTGATCTGTTTAGACACTGTACTAGCAATGGAGGTTTATTGTGTATGTGAGCGTGTTCCTGGCAATCAAAGGGTTAAATGTGATTACTGATGGGCAATCTGACGCTATCTGGGAGGGACACTAACTGACCAACTGATGCTAATGCTATCTGATGTTGCGACACACTAATACACTGATCAGCAAAAAATCTGTACACTGTACTAATGACACTGATGACAGGGCAGTGAAGGGGTTAACTAGGGGTTAACTATACGTTCGTTCCTAACCCCAGACACTACTAAACAACTCATTCCCTCCCTTATTATCCCACGTCTGGACTACTGCAACTCCCTCCTCACCGGCCAACCTCTTCACAGACTATCCCCGCTTCAGTCTATCCTGAACTCAGCGGCCAAAC